TCCTGAGATATACATGCTAGGATTTCTTTATTCCTTCTTCCCAAGTAATGTTAGCTCAAGTTTAAAACTGAGTATTTCATCTCTAAAAATAAAGATGAATCTTCTGCTCCTTTAATAGATATTGTACTAAGATCTAAAAATTCGATAAATTAGTAGAAGTTGTTTTAAAACAGAAAGAACTGTTTTAATGCATATGTCAGTATATCATGATAATTTTTATATAACTTCTCAAAATTAAACATAAAAGTAGATTCTTTTTTATGACATAAAAGATATTTTATTTTTGCAGTCTGTGTCTTAAAACACAGTGAAATAGACTGAAAACCAAGGTGTGGATGTTTTCATTCATGTGAGTGAGGTGAGGTGTGATGTGATATGATTATGTATGATGGGTAAGACCTTTGGAATCCAGCAAGTCTGACTTTGAGTTCTCCCTCTGCCTTATCTTAGCTGTAGTAGTGTTAGGCAGATTAGTATCTGTAAATTTTATTTGTCCCGTGGGTTAAGTGAAAATAATACCTGTCCCATAGGATAGTTGTTAGGTAAGATAACGCAGGTGAAGTGTCTTGTATAGTACCTAGTATGCAGTAGGCACTCACATGATGCTCTTATTACTGTCACAATTCAGGGCTATGAATTAAAACTGTAAAGTTAAGGTAATTAAAGGTAATTATAATTATAGAGTTTTAGAAACCTTCATTTAAAATAGTTATGAATCTAGTTCTCTCCAATTTTAGTTAATTTTTCATAGAAATGGTTAGATTGTCTTTTATGATTCTCAGACTGTAGAGTTTTTCTTGGTCTGAGGTAACCCATTATCATATGAGAATAATGTAGTATTAACAGCTGTCAGGATATGTGAATTGTCTTTTAGGCTGGAACCTCACCACTTTGACCTCCTCCAGTTGATGGAATTCGGTTATCTTTCTTCACCAAAAATAATGAAAGATGGAGCTTAAGGCTGGTCGTATACAATTACAGAATTCAAGTAGAAACCTGTTTTACTGCTTCCCAGTGATATAACATAACCGTAGCCATATCCCAGTGAAGGTAAAATATTATTAAAGACCACTTGAATTCACTTTGTTCCATTTTTCTTAAAATAAATACTTTTATTACAACATAGTTGTAGAGAATGATTACAGGAAACAGTGTCGGCTATTTCAGATATCACAAAAAATGGAAAGACCCAAAGGAGTTTTGTGAATTTTGTATTAATCAAGTTCTTATGGTTCAGTACTTTTATGTATTCAAAAGTTACCTTACTTAGCATATTACAGAGCATTGGACTGTATAATAATAAAATTTATCTTACACGTTGATTCAGCAGCATCCTGTTGACAAAACTTGCATGCATTTATATGTGAAAATGTACTCATATTTCCTAAAAGAATAAATTTTCCTGTTCTAATCTGCATTTGTTGCAAGTTAGTATTGAATCTTAAGTCCCACTGAAGAAATTGGATGGGGTTCATTTATAATCTCAGCCTGCAGGAATGTGCTCTCTTTGGGTAACCGTATGCATCTCTTCCTACAGGTTTTAGTAATCAGTGTAGTGTTTCTAAAAGCACAGTGGTCTCAGATTCTTGAGTCAGGCTGTCAGATATCCTGCTTTTTAGTTTCTTGATCTTAGGCACCTTACTTGGTTTTCTCATCTGTGAAATAAGGGTGATAATAAAAATGTTACTATCTTGTAGTACTGTGGAAGGACTTAATGAGATAATATTTATTGAAAGCACTGGATGAGTGGCACATCAGGGCCCAGTAAACTTTAGGTGTTATTATTGTCACTGTTCTACAGTATGACAGGTGTGGACTATTTTGAGTTTTTCATTATGTCCTAGGAAGTGTATGCAGAAAATAATAAAATCTGTGGGGAAAGGGTGGCTTTGTAGTAAGAATACTAGAAGAATCTATTCCTTTTGCACTACCCTGTAAGCTATAAAATGAGAGAACCAGCAGATAACGGCCCTTTGAAGGGAAGAGGGGGACAAGTATAACTTTAAACATTCTAATCAGAAGGGTGAAGTTGCTGATTTGTTTAGCCAGTGATTAACAAATAATTCTTTGAGACTGGACAAAATTTTAAGTAAGAATAAGGTAGTACTTGTATATAATGCCATAACAGGTTTCCAACATCAGTCCTTCAAGTTACAATAAATACAGTGAAACAGTGAAGATTCATTTATGACCAAAGCAAGAGGAAGATAAAAGTGTAGTATATTTTATATTGCTATGATTAGAGCAGAGCCCTATCTTAAAACTGAGTAACTGAGTTTTAAAAACTTGATTTCCATGTACCAAGTGAGAGTATAGTATGTGACTGAGATGAAAAAGGCTTAGCTGTTGGCTCTTTTGGTAGGGGAAAAAAA